TTGCATATGATAATAATGATATTTTTCGATAATTTCCACACTCTGTCAGATCACCTTTTTTTTGGAATGAGCACAAACAGGGATCTCTTACAGTCAATTGGCCAGGTTGTTTTCCTCCAAATTTCTGGGCAAAACTTCGTGAAAGCATCCAGGCAGCATCTGTTTGTTGAAATATGTCCATTGTATGCCATCAATTTCTGGGGCCTTATTTTTTACCAGTTTCTTCAGAATAGCTTGAACTTCCTCCTTCATCACCATAGACTCGTGATCATACACTGTTTCATGACAATCTTCTGTGTCAGCCAATTCTTTTTGATATAGTGACTATGTGTACTCCTTCCATCTTTCAATGATTTCTTAGTCATTCAACACTCTGACCACAACATCCTTAAGTATCACAACTCAAGGCTTGAATTTGTTCTTCAGTTCCTTCAGCTTAACGAATGCTGAGCAAGTTTTGATTTTCCAACTCCATCTCTTCACACAGTTCATTATAGCACTTTGCTTTGTCTTCCCATGTTGCCCTTTGAAATCTTCCATTCAGCTCCTTCATGTCTTGATTTCTTCCCTTACTTTGGCTTCTCAGCATTCTAATACAATATTCAGAGTCTCTACTAGAGTTTCTTAAAGAAGGCACACTATCTCTTTAACATATGTGTCATTTCAGACTCCTCCATCCATGATTCATAGTTAAACTCCTTCATGGTCTGCCTGTTGCCTTCAGAGTAAATTCTGAAGCTCTATAAGACATTACCTTCAGTCCCTGCTTGACTAGATTTTCTACCTGTCTTCATATCTTATATCTCCTTGACACAGTTTCCCTGTTCTATTTCAGGCCATTTATACTGTTTCTGACCTCAGGGGCTTTATATTCATGGTTTCCTCTGCCTAGAACCCTCTTCAACAAAACTACTCCTCACCATTCTACCCTTCACACCTCCTCTAATCTCTGTCTTTTCACTTCATGCCTTATTCTGCATACTCTGCTTTATTTCCCCCCTAAACACTTTTATATCTTAGATTTTGTTTGCCTATTTATGTATTTGCTATCATGTTGCCACTAAGCTCAGTAAGGTTAAGAGTTTGGTTTATTTTTTTCATTGTCATTTTACTGTCATCAGAACAGGGTCCAGTAGACAGTATGTGCTTAAAAAAATATATTGAGAGGTTTCAGAAAGGAATACATTCTTTCCTTCAAGTGAAGTTATAAATTATTTAGAGGGAAATTATTACATAATTATTATTGAAATATAAGTGCTATTTATTTAAGATTATAGTTAAAAAGAAGTAAGGGAATTCTACAGATTGGCATCAAGAAAGCTAGTCCTAGAACTTCAGTCCTAGAACTGTTCTTCACCAAGTCTATTGCTCCACATTTTCTTGGTCTAGGTTTTCTTATCTGTAAAATGATGTTGGACTAGATTAGTGATTCTTATCCTTGAGGTCTGAAGATGGGTTTCATGTGTTTGTGTATCTTTTAATACCATGTAGAAAAATGTTTCACTTATAAATAAATAGTTTAACTATAGAAATATGCGTAAATAATATTTATATATAATTTTTTGATCTTTAGTTTGTTTTGTTTTTCAAAATGAATTTAAGGTCTATGGACCTGAAACAGACCAGATGGCCTGCAAGTTTATTTTAGTCCTATCTTCAGATGATTTTGAAAGGGAATGAAATGAGAAAACCTGATGCTACTCTTGAAAGATAGAAGGCAGTCTCAGTTCTGCCACCCCCTGGGCAAGCCATTCTTTTCTCTCACTTTTGTTTTTATCACCTGTAAAATGAAGGCATTGGACTTGACAAGCTAAAATAACACCTTCCGTTTCTACGTTCAATTCAACCAAATGGTTGAAAACAAATAAACAAAGCCTGGTGGGAAGATTGGAAATTCAGCCTGGTTCCTGCTGGATCTTCAAGGAGCTGGAGTCTCGGAGCTGCTAGTGTTCTAACAGCACTTTGAGAGGTAAGAAAAGAAGATTAGGAAAGTGGTTTCTTTGTAAGACTCTAGCTGAGGGTCACAGCAACTTTCTTAAAGATGGAAGATTATGTTTTAAAGATGACAGAGAACAGAAAGGAAAAAGCCTCACAGCTCTCCAAGAAAAATTTGAGTCTAATTCTTTTAGTCTTAAGCCTCATAAATCCTAGAACAAACATAATAAGAAAAAAAATGCTCTATAGATTTTGATATGGAGTCTTGATGGCCTAATGGTTATTGGGTAGTGCTGTCAAGCCAAAAGCAAACAGAATACCCCAGCTGCTCTGAGGTAGAAAGATGGACAGTCTCTTCCCATGCAATTTGCTGTCTCTAAAAACTTGCTAAAAGGTCAGCTATGGATCAGTTCTTATTCCATAGCATGCAACAGCACAGCTTCTGATAAATTTTTGAAGGGTTAAATCAATATGTAGTTTAATGCTTCTTTATTAGTCTCCCTTCCTTATTAGGATATAGGTAATGTTTTGCTACTGAGGAACTTAATTTGTCACAACATGTGTAATTTTGATTTGTTCCACCCTTCTACCAGCTTTCTTCCTCTGCTCTCCCCTCCTCTTCTTCCATCCCATGCCCTTGAAAAGGCCTATAATTTCTCTCTCTGTAAGTGTGTGCATTCTTTTTGACCTGGAGATAAGTACACAATGAAATTAAAAATCACTCAACAATTTGAGAAAGTTGTTCAAAATCTCTCCTTCCTCAGATTCAATGTGGATCTGGGGGTTATCGTTTTGAAAGTAGAAGGCTAATCCCAAATCTTATTCTTTTATTCAGCACCTACTGGGTACCAGATTTATGTACTTAAGGTCAGTTTAGACACATTCTCTGTTCTACACTCAGGTCTCAGTGAAACAGAATTGGAAGCCCTCACTTAGGAATTTCTATTGCAATCTATTTTGTATCCCAGCATTTAATTCTTTCCTCCCTGGAAGTAGTAAGACTGAGTTGGTATGGTGACAAGGAGTATGTCTTTGGCCAGTAGACAAGTTGCCTTCATTACTCCCATGAGGAATAGAACTGAATGGGGCATTTTTCTGGGCCTGGCCAAAATTCGGCCATGCCTCGAGGATCCATTAGACTGCAGGTCACAGCAGCTGGAGCCCAGGCGCCCCGAGCCAGTCACGCGTCTGTGCTACCCGCTCCCCTATGTACAATGGAGTCATTGACTATTATTTACTTGGTACAACAAGGCTGCTGTTGACTCAATTATAAGAGTTTCCCAGGCACCCTCTGAGTTCTTTAAATGACTTACTCATCATTGCCATTAACTCATCTCTCCTGAACCTCTCTAGTTCTAAGTGGTTTCTACTAGCAAAGTGTAAGTGAGAGGCATAGAGATTCAGGAGTGGTGATCAAGAGAATAGAAGCTAGTGATTTTCCTTGTGAATCTGCGTAGAGTTGGTTGTTAGGGATGCCTAGTCTAGTTGGCTCCAAATCATAGCAACTCTATGTACAGCAGAAGAAATACTGCCTGTCCTACACTGTCTATAAACTTATTGCTATATATGAGCCCATTGTTGCAGCAATTACGTCAATCCATCTTGAGAGTCTTTTTTGTTGACCCGCTGTTTTACTAAGCATTATGTCCTTCTTCAGGATCTAATTCTTTTCTGATAAGATACTGAAGTAAGTAATAGAAGGTTCAGCCATTCCGTGCCCTCAGGGGTTTTGAGCAGGACTGAATTGCTGTGTGTTTCATGGCTAGGCTGAACAAATCACTGGCCTTCTGATGTGGAGGATGGTGCTCTGGTAAGCTCCAGTGAGCCATTGTTTAACTTTACTGGGGGTGTTTTAGAAAAGGAGTCAGCAAAGGCTAGACATCAGTCTTCAGCCAGACAACTGGTCCCTAGGGACCTTTGAAATTAGAGACTCCTGTGGAAAAAGGCTTGGTGTTTCAGTGGTTAAACTCGTCTTTGCTAATCAAAAGATGGTCAATTTTAACCCAGTAGTCTACAGGAGAAATACACTGACAATGTGCTTCCATAAAGATTTATTGCCTTGGACACCCTATCAAGCAGTTCTTTCCTGTCCTATAGGGAAGCAACTCCATTGGCAATGTGTAGGGCTTGGTTTGGTTTGGTTGTTGGCTATCTGTGGTGGGCTGCACAGGAATGTAGACAAATTCCAACTACTGCCAACAAACCTGCTTTGCTGCTTTACCAGCTTCTTCTGAGGTGAACTTCTAGTTAATATTTTAAGCCCAAAGAGAAAACAGTAACGGTATTGAATAGGTGTTGACTTTTCTGACCTCAGGAGCAGAAATTGAGATTGTTTACAGAAGCTAATCAATTCCATCAAGAAAAGAAGGAAGTCTGATGGCTCTCTGGTGCAGGCCCTGCCTGCAACCTGTGATGCAAAAGATTTCAGGCCAATTACCACCTCAGGCATTTTAACAAGTCCAACAGACAACTGCTTCTCAAGATCCTTTCACCAATCTTTGAGGCTGTAATCTTAGATTCAGTACTTATCAGATATCAAAAACAACTTCTTTCTCTATTTGGTGGAGTTGACAGTTCAGGGGCCTTATAGGTTGCCAGGAGAGGTGATGGTGCACATCATTAGGGAGGCAATCCAAGGCCCCAGCCCTTCATATTAGGGAGAGGTTCCTTTCCTTGCTGCTGTTCTCAGCTGCCCAGACTAGGGGCAGGCTCAGCGACTTCAGGCGTCTGGGTGAATGAAAAACGTTGTGACTCAGAGGGTCACTTTGGAGACTACCAGCTGCTCCTCATCCCCGGCAGCTGACAAGTTTCGTTGCTATGGTTTCGGACTGGCAAAAAAAGCTGCAACCTCGAATCAAATGTGCCTGGGCTCCTCATGCTTACGGTTACCACCTAGAGCCAGGCAAATCCCACAGCGATTTGTAATATTCCCTGATAGATTTCTGCCTTAGTCCCTGACTCAATTCAGCTGGCGTGGGTGTGTGCAGAGGGGGAAGTCTTCCTGGTCACGGGTGTCAAAACGTTCACATGTAAAGATGATCAAAAATCCCATGCTCTTTGCGACTGTTCTGGGGCTGGTGCCAGGCCGAAGTGGCCCTGGCCGCCAGCAGCGCTCAGGGGGCACCGGGAAAGGAGCGCGGCGCCTTTAAAGCAAGAGGCGCGGAACCCCCGCCAGGAGGCGTGTCCGTCTCCGCCGCCACCGCTGCTCCTCGGTCTCAGTCTCCGCTGCAGCCGTCACTCGCGCTCGGCGCCGGCGGCTGCGCTGCTCGGTCCGAAGCCCGGGACTTCCCGGCCGACCTCCTTGGGCTGCTCCTCCCCGAGGACCATCCCTCCCCCTCCCCGCCCACCTCGCCCCCAGTGACAGGTAAGGACTCCCCCTGGGTAGGTTCCGTTCCTGGCTTCCCCGTAAGGTGTGTGTTCCCACGAGGACTGAAGACACACCGGGGGTGGGCTCGGGGCATTTTCCCCTGGAAGAGAAGGAAGAAGGCTACCAGCAGCGCGACCAAGCTGGGTGCTCCCCGAGCACCCACTGGACCTTTTCGTGGCTTTGTCCAGCTCCTCTCAGCAAATTTCCATCAAAGATGCAACTGGCTCGGTTGGCTTTAGACGCACGAGTTCTCTACATAAAATAATAAGTGGCCTCAGTGACTGCGACTCATGCGAGGCGAAGAGAGTGAGACAGATGGCAAGAAGCTAAGTCTCTGTTTGCAGGTCTAAGGAACTCCCCAGCTTCGTCTCATCCACCCACCATTCCTTCAGTCCTGCTCCTTAATCTGTACTGAAAGGTACAGACTCATTTTAACCGGCGCCAGTATTGACAGTTCCTGAAAAAAACTCAGGGAGCTTTCTGTTAGGGGAGAGCAGGAGGAATAGGGTTGTCAACCAAGTGCATCATAAACCTCAAGAACTTTTAACGGCCCCTCTTCCCTGATATTTTTACCTTCAGTGAGACAGGGTTTCTTCACTAAACAGAGTTGAGATTCCTTAGGTAGCAATTGAGGGAAGAGAGGATACTAGAAAATTTACTACTACTGTCCATTTGGTACACACAGATTATCTTCTACTATTTCCCTCATCTCCATACTGTAAGTATTCTGCCCTCCGAAAGTCCTTATGAATTAATGATTATTTTCATTACATAGCAGATGATGGATTTATTTGAATTTTAATTAGTCTCTGTTAGTTGCCGAAAGATGTGATCTAGTATTTAAATTTTTACTTGTCTGTGTCCATTACATTATAACTTTTATAGAATCCACTTCTGTTACCATCAAGGCACCCATCACTTTCCTCCCAGTGGCCTTAGACACTTATTTAAAAAACAAATAAAAAGGAAATTACATTAGGAAGGTAGTAGAGAAATGAGTGCTACCTAGAAGTCTAACCTGTTTATTTTCTTCTATGTAAACCTATCCAATAATACATAGGCTGAAGTTTTAAAAAAGCGCCAAGCCATGTAAATATTTTCCAATTCAATTTCTTCATTAAGATCAACTTCTTTTAGACATTTAATGATTAGTTAAAACCCTAAATGAGATTAATCATCAGTGTGGCAGAATGTTGGCAGAATGAGTGATATTTATTTAGAATAAAAAGGTGCCATAGTATTCATAGGTAGAAAGAGTGAAGTGCAAGTATGCAACAGTGTGATTTTAACTAATATCAGTTTGACTTTTTCCCGGCACTTTTCATGCCAAAGATCTGCAGGCTGTTTATTTTAGCTCAGCTGCAGTAAAAACTGGCCACATGTATGGAAGAATAATAGGTCAGGTGCTATTGTATATGGTGAGATTTCTCAAATGTCAGGAAACAGCAAAACTTATGTGCTAAGTCAAGTGGAATCCTTAGTAAGAATTCCATCTGACAAAAATTTTTAAATATAGATTGGCTATAGAGAGCTATATGGAACAGCTTTAATACTTAGGTTGTCCTGGGATTATATTTGCTGTTTCCTGCAAAAGGAGTAGGCATTGTCTTTTTAAATGTTCTATAAGGATTATTACACATTTGTACATGCCCCAGCAGGTGGCAGCTAACTAGAATGAGATTCATTTTCCCTGGGAGAACAGGAAACTAAAATTGCTTCTCAAATAATAGTGGCCAAGAATAAGAGGTCATTAGTGTCAGCAAATATAAAAATGCTGTGAAAGATGGAGGTAATGGATTTTTTCCATTATTGTTGAACAAGTTTCACATTAACATGATACCAATTTTTCTCTTTATTATCATTTCTTAATATTCCTTCACATCTGCTTTCTGTGGCATTTTCGAGGCTTACATTTAGATATGGCTACACTATTTGTGTGCATACATGTGTGTTTGCAGTTTGTCATTTCTGCTTTGACCTTGGAATCTACAGAGCTTTGGCATCTAGAAAATAAAGGGTTCTGGGTGCCATATGGTTAAAGTGACCCCTCCTTTAAAAAAAAAGAAAAAGAAAAGAAAACCTCAGTGGCATAAGGTGTGTACACTTTTCCTGTTACTAATTATATACGGTCACCTGAGGTCCAAGAGCTAGTTGCTATTTTCTTTAAAAAAGTAGAAAATTACTGAACTGGCACTCTTTTCAAAAGAGTTGAATTTTGTCAGTGAAATACTTTATAATGACTTTATCAATCTTTTGTATAGTCTCCATACTCTGGTGTGTGATATTGCTGGAGAGAAATTGATAATGACTTCAGTGCTTTATTATGTCTCCTACACTACCAAATCATTTTGTTGTATTATTGGGGATGTAGTTTAGGTGTTTTACCCTGGGAAGTGTGTGAAGCTTATTAAGAAAGAATGAGAATTAATCTGATTACCCTTTAACAGATGGAAATCTAGAGGTGGAGAATTTGGAGGCAATAACTAATTGTACATTTTAGACATGTCTTTACCTACTCATTATTGACAACACATTATTTAGTGTTGTAAATTATTGGTGATTTTTCCAGGCAATACTTTATACAGACAAATGAGTAGTAGTATTCATGCAGGAACTCACGGTTAATGTAAATAGTGTATGCGGTAATATACCCTGAAAAACAGATGACTGTTGATGTAGGCTAGGTATGCTAGGGAATCTAGTAAGCTATACTGAAAAAATACATATAGCACAGTTGACAAAATAGTCCTCTTGACAATGTGAACAATGCAATAATTCAAATTATCTTACTCTGCAGGAGAAATATATACACATTGTCTGTCCAAATGGTATATTATCCTTTCAACCTACAGACAGTCCTCTGTTTAAAGATAGGATCTGTTCCTAAGTGTGTCTTAATCTTGTTTTTGCAGATAAGTCTGAACAGGTGCTTACAGTTCTTACAAGAAAAAGCATGATGTCTTTACAGTGATTTAATAGCTGCAAGTGAAGGTGATTGTGATGAAGAATTTGTTTGGAGTAGGGGTTGGCTCAAGTCATTTCAAAGTGAAGGCAAATTTACATAACATTAAAGGGCAAGTGTCCTTAAGTCCTGTGTTCATAACCCTGGAATTTACTATACTACTTTGAATGTACTACTCTAGAATAAATCAATGCCTGGAGCGCTGTCCGAGGTCCTTAAGAAAGGTTCTTTCCTGTGTTGCAGAAATTCAATTGGGCAGGTGCATGCAGTTTATATTTAAATTGAAACCCTACAATTTAGTTGATGGATATAAATTAACCTATTTTAGTATTTGTGAAAAACTGGTTCTTTGGGCACTGGTTAACACTAAGAAAATTTTATCCTAGACTTCACCTGTTTTATTTATTGTGTAAGAACTTCCTGGATCTGGAAGCTTGACTTCTCTCTTTTTTTGGCTAAACAGCCAATACTATACAAATGAAATTATTTAGAATGTTAATTTATTTAACCAGAATTAACTCTAATATCAAATTTAATTAGGGTAGCAGAATTACGAACAAGAAGTTTTTTGTGTTTTTTTTTTTTTCATTTGCTCAGTTTACATTAGATGAAAAACTGCAGTGCTTTGATTAGTCACAATAGAACATAATTGGCAGTAGACACCAATTATATTGGCAGATTAAAAAATAAGAATATTAGTGTTACCTTGAGAGTTATTATTATCTCTGCTAGGATCAAAAATAAAATGTAAAAGTAGTTTGGAATAAATGAGACAGCAAATACAAGCCAGAACATGTCGAGCTGTACATGTTTTTACAAGAGATATTTCAAACGTGGACTGAAGGAGTCGCTAGATACCCTTAGTTTTAGCACTAGGTGTTCCTTTTAAAGTGCTCAAATAGTCAAATTCTTTGAATTGCCTGCTAGACTGCAGAAGTAGCCATTCATGATACTTATTTTTGACATTGCAGTTATGCCTCCATTAAAAAAAAAAAATCAATGCCACTAAATGTCTTTGCAAATTGTATGTTTCTTCTCAAATCAACATTTTCTTATATCTTAAAATTATTATTGAAAAATTAGTATGATGGAGAGAAAACATTATAGTATTTTATTGCTACCTGGGGAAAAAACATAACAAGAGTCAAGTGTACTCATTTCACTCATTATTTTAAAAATTAAGTTTTCAAAGGATGTGATGATTTATTTCACCCCCAAAAGGTTTAACCTATGAGAAAACCATTGTTAATATTTTTTAAAAAAATAATTTTAAGATATAGTCCCAGCAACTTGCCCTTTGTACTGCTTAATCATTTGCGAATATTAACAGCGACATATTTATTACCATCTATGTTAGTTTTACCTCCTAATCTATAGTGTTAGCATTGGGCATTAAAAAAAAAAATCTATGTACTCAAAGGCAATATATTAGTTATTTTCAATAAGAAAAATGTAGTTAATGTTGAAAAATATGTTCTGCACTTTTTAGGAATAAATTACAAATTGTAAATATCAAGTCAGAATTCCAAATAATACCACCAGAAAACTAGCATTTCCAGACAAAGCTAAGACTGCCAAAGTTTCTCAATGTTTTATTTCATTCCACTTACTAGTGTAAAAAGTTTTGAAATATGAGAAGAAATTCAGGCATAAATTATGGAGATTTTTGGAGTTTGCAGTGTGAAACATCATTGTTATTTATATATGCATAATTATTTTACATGAGCTGAAAAATGGGTGAGAAAACATTATTCCTTTAACTCCATTTTATTCCTAAAAGTCTATTGAAATTTTTTACTCCATTGTAGTAATCAAATGATAGCCTAATCAAGTTTTAAAGACTACATCATTCCTCTTAATTTCATTCCAATCTATATTCATACCTGGCAAAAGTACTTTTTTAAAAGTGTAAGTAAACCCGACTTTAAAGCTAAACATAAGTTAGAATTTTCAGTAAATTCTTGACTTCGACTTTGCTAGTCATCTGTTAAAATTCATCAGTTGATTGTAAGAAGTCTATCTGCACACACCAGACGCTCTCTAAGCAAGGACTCCTATTGAAAATAAAAGCATTTTCCTTCATGTGAATAAACCCAACTTTCTTTCTTGAAACCCTAAGCGGGAGTTCACTTGGGTTGCATAATGCATATTGGGAAGCTCCCTGGCAAAAAGCCTTAAGAGGAGAGCAGCTATCTCAATTTTTCTCACTTAATCTTGGCTTCACGTCAGAAGCTGTGCAGCAGTGCAGTAGAACAGGGCCTGGCAAAAGCTTTGCGAGCAAAAGCGTCTTTTGTGCTGGGACTGTAGCTTGCCATTGACACCTCGGCGGTATCCACGGCTGAATCTCCTATTGATTTTCCTCCTCCTCTCCTTCCCTAGGCTCGAGCGGCTGGACATTGTGGGTGTGCGAGCTGGATTTCTCCCGGATGCTCTCCGACTAACATGGATGTCCCACCATCCCTTGCAGGGGAAGGTTGCTCCTTGGCGCAGTGAGTGAAGAACATGCAGCGATTGCTAATGGGTTTGGGAAGCGGAGACTCCTTTCTCACTGTGACCATGCCGTGATCGTGTCTGCGGCCACCACTCGACGCATCCTCATTCCTGCCCGACCGGGGAGCCTAACGCTAGACCGGGGAAGTGGGTGCCGCGCGTGTGGGCACAGGAACACCATGAAGATTATTTCCCCGATTCTAAGTAATCCAGTCTTCAGGCACACCATTAAACTCCTGCTCTGCTTACTGTGGATCGGATATTCCCAAGGAACCACACATGTATTAAGATTCGGTAAGATTCCCCTTCCCTCTCTGCCGCCTGGAATGGGCTCCGTGGCGGCCGGATGTAAACAGGGAGCGAGCTCTGCCTGGCGGTGGGCTCCGCGCCTTCCCGAGTGCTCCTGGCTCAGTCACCTCTGAGGCTTTAAGGGACCTCCTGCTGTTCCTTTTCTTCTTTATCCCCCCCTCCCCTTTTATGTTTTCTATGTGGTTGGGGTCGCTGCATAGCTTCTCTACATTAGCCTGCTCCTGATGGTGCTGATGCCCGGGGTGCTGGCCAAGCATCACCCGCGCGCGTCTCCCCGGGAATCTCTCGCGCTTGGCGGGCTGCGTGGTCCGTGCGGGGGGCTGCACGCCTCACAGCTTCTGGGGCTGAGGAGTTCGTATCTGACAACTCTTTGGCGAGTAGAGCTGCTGCTTCTAGTGACTCAGCCAGGTCCTCTAGCGCAAATAAAAGGCACTATCCTTTAGAGTTCTTGTATTAGATTTTTTTTTTATTGTTGGGGGGGGTGGAAGAGGGAAATCTCATGGCTTTCCCAGCTGTTAGTACTCACCCTGAGAAGAAAGCTTTTAAAATAATAATACTGTACTTAACAAGGAGAGGCTGTCGCTCAGGGTGCAATAGCATCATAGTAAGAAGATTGTTGTATATTCGCTTGTTTTAAACTTGCTGTTCACAGACTAATAAATGATTAAAGAGAGTAATAAGTTTGAAAGGAAGATCTTGTGTGTGGGATGAGTATGGAATGTTTAAAATCTGTGCCTTGGTGTCATACTGGTGTGATGAAAGAATCGAGACAGTTAATATATTTTAGGGCAATCTGTCCCATTGACTGAGCAATCAGGATTTCTGTCTAGCTCAAAGGAAAAACTGAATGTGGGATCCAAGTGGGAGCTCGAGCCAGAAAGGTTTCCTTGGAGGAAATACAGCACGGACACCCTTCAGCACCTCTTGATGGTCACTGGAGTTTTAGTAAATGTAGTCAGGGAAAGTTCCCTAAAGTAGAAAAAGAGTGAGGAGAACACAGAGGGCGATGGGGTGTAAACTTGCCCACTATGGACATTTCCTCTAACAGTTCAAGTGAATTTAAGCCAGAGTGCAAGAAACCATATAATCCCAACTATGTATCTTTGAGATAAAAACCCATACATTAAATCACTAAGTCAGATTGAAACTCAGCAGTGAGTGCTTACGTTTCTATCATGTCAACAGCATCTTCTTCTGTCTTTCCCTTTCCCAGATGCTTTTGCTCTAACAAAATTGAGAGGAAAACATCTTTCCCAAGGCTTGATGGAATGAAAGGATGTTTTCACATATTAAAGAAAGGACTCCCAGCAGCCTTTTCTAAACACACCTGGAGCCAATAAGACTGATAATGACAAAAAAGACAATGGATTATAGCTGAATTTTCTAATGTAGTAGGTCTCCTGTTTTCATGCCTTTGGATAGTACTTAAGCACGTTGCTCTTAGCAACAGCGTCCACTGGAATGCTTGTTTCTGTGAAGGGGATCACACAGGTTTCTGTATCAGTGCATGAGTGTGTATGTGTGTGTGTTCAGCGGTTCCGCTACAAGCACAGTAAGTGTTAAAGTCTGGTGCTTTGCCCAGTATTTTGAGTAGTATAAATTATTTATCTGGAATACTTCGGTAGCTTCCTTCCTATGTGTTTGTGAATGAGTATCCACTGGTTAAATATGTTTGCAGACTGGAATAAAAACACTTTGAGTCCAAAACCTGACACTAATACTCTCAAGATTTAATTATTGCTGCTCTGGTCTTGCAGCATAATATTTGCTGAATCATTAGATTGTTACATTCGCTGATCATTTCATATCTTCATATTAAAAATCTTGGCGACTATAGCAGAGTATGTAGCAGCTTTCCAAAACAGCTGACACACACACAAAAATACATTTTTTCCTAGACCAAAGCTTACTAAGAATGTCTTCAGGAAATAGAGTACTAGGTCAAGACTTACCCACCAGCCCCTTGATACCCAAACTTTCACCCCAGTCTCTAGATAACCTGTTATTTTCTTCATTAACTTTAAACACCTTCCATGTGGAAATCCTTTTCCTGATTTCTGACCTGAGTTGTGAGGAGAGACTGTGCACATTGTAATCACTAGAACATTTCCGTGTTGGGGCTACTTTGATGCAATAATAGGAGTTTTATTTTGTTCTGGGGAAAACATGTTTTGAGTGTAGTGGATGGTTGGCTGAGCGCCATGTAAGTGGTTCTTGAGAAAGGTTATTTTTCAACTTTGGTTCAAAAGGCAAACCAAAACCTTATCCCTGGCCCCGTGCCTTAAGGAATGGGGTCTCATTTGCGAGTGAAGCCGCTGCCCCTGAGCAGCAGCAGCGGACGGCCTAAAGCTGAGGAGATTCCTGCATCTGCTCGGGAGGCGGCGCCGAGCGCCTAGCTCCCGCCCCTAGCGAGGCAGAGAGCGGCCAGCCGCCCGCTGCCCAGCGCCTCCTCTGAAGTGCTATGGCAACCGCAGAGCGCAGTCCAGCGGCTTCCCCCACCCCTCCTCTTCCCCGCTGGCGGAAGTCCACTGTCATGGGCTTAGTGTTGTCCTCCTCCCAGCCACCCCTCTCTGCTCCCACTGAGGTTGTGACTCAACCCTGCATCTTCTTTCGTCTTCGTACAGCGCAAAGCAACCAAACGCGCTGTGCCCTCCCTCGCGGCGTTCCAAGCCACAGTGAACTCCTCTCTAGAGCCCCAGAAAACTTCACTTAGTGGCCCAGGAGGACCTCAGTCCGAGCATCCCATCTTGGGGCCTGTAGTTCCCTGGATTCCTGGCTGACCTCTCAGAGTACTCTCCCGCATACTCCCGGGGGCGCTATTCTGGAGCTTTTTAAGACTGCCTGGTGCAAAGGCAGAAGCGACCTGAGGGTTAGCCAGGGGTCAGTTCCTTGAGGTGGGCGTGGGCTGCAGCCTGTTTCTGCGTACTATGTACTTGGTTTTACATAGCTTGGCTTTTCTCCAGCGCCGAGGCCGGGGGCATGTTGAGCAAGTTGTATCTTAGCAGATCAACCCTTCACCCTGATTGAAGTGAGATGTCCTCTACTAATCATGCCTCCAGAGCATGAGGGCCACTCTTGCTATGTAAATGAGGCACCTTTGTCTCTCTGCAGCTGCCTCCTAGGTCACTTTGGCTGCTGGAGAGGGCCGAGGGGGAATCCTTTGTGCAGGCGGCCCAATCCCAAGGTATCCCAGTTAAATTGTCTCAATGAGACAAGATCATTTCTTTCTTGGTGAACAGAAACTTCCCCTCTCTTCCTGGTTTGCTCCGACCTCCGACTCGAGCTAGGGAAGTGAGAGAAGGTGAAGGAATCAGGCCAGCTAGTGCTTAGCTCACTGAATGGCTGGCCTACAAGTCCAAGGGGTATGACTCTGTGAAGCATCACCTCTAAGGAATAATTTACTAAGCTGCCGGTGATTTCTGGAGTCAGATTGCTTTTCTAAGACCACATTTTAATTAGAATTATAAACCCACAAGCAAAGACTTCAGTCCAAACTTTCTCCCAAACTGTTTGGGCAGCTTCTCTAACCCTTTCTGAAGAGCTGAACATACCGTTCTGATATTTTTTTAAAAAAATTTTTTTTTTTAAAGTAGAATGCAGCTTAAAAGAAAATTCTTCTTAGTTGATACCTACTTTCAGCCCCCCGGATACTCACGGACCTCCCTGGCGTAACGCGCAACCCAGCCTCTGCAAACACTGAACATGCAATCAGTGAGCTCAGGGACTGCCCAGATGATCAAGCCCACCACGTGAGAAGGAACAGAAAAGGTTCCTATGGAAATCTCTCCAGTTTGCTGGGCATTTTATGCTTGCTCTCGAAGTTATAATTAGTAGCAGATGTACTACAACATCGAGGAGTGCGAGTGAATTGACTGAGCTTAGAAGCTGCCACACTCTACAAGTTCTTTGAAAGAGATTTTTCTTCCTTTGGGAGGTGAAGTGGGCGGGAGGGAGGAGTGGCCTTCTATCTGGAAGCAGAAAACTGGCTCCTGGGAGGTGGGGATGGGGGAGTAATAGCGGCTACTGTCTGCTGCAGATAAAGTCGGAACACCTGCTTAAGCTGAGCTCTGGAAGGCAGGAAGGAAAATCTTTCCAAGAATCACCAACACAGCGGTCACACTTAAGAAAAATGTTTTTCTTGTAAGTTCTTACTTATTTTTAAAGCTTCAAAGAGTAACTGTGATGTGATCCATCAGCGGAGGCGCAATCATTTCAGAAAGCGACTTTGAAAAATGATCTTTTCGTCCTCCAGAAATAGTACCCCGTCTCCCTCCAGACACAAGGAAAGGGACACATATACCGGCTTTGTGCAGTTGTCTTTCAAAAGTGAACACGAGTTTATATGTCAGTAGACGTGCACTCAACACAGGTTTTGCTTGGTGGTTTGATGCAAGTGATCATTACAGTGTGTTCATTCACTGAATTCTCAATAGACACTGTTTCAACATTTACTCAGCACAGGAAAGTTAATGTGAGTTACTTCTACACAAAGGAGGAATATACCATAGAGTAGATAATGCGGGACATCTCAGAAATTGTGAAATCTTTTTACCATTAGATAAAGTGTTGTCCATGATGATAATGCTATACCATTTGATGGAAGATAATTATCATAATTTCAGATAAAATATACTTCCCTTTTTTCTAATAGACATTTAATTTTCAAGTGAGAGGAATTCATTAATTTTCTCTTCCTATTTTTAGAATTCCACTGCACTATTGTAATCCTAAGTACATTTATTAATGGGAAATTATTGCTACCTATTTTCACATATTAGAAGAGTATCTTTCTAATATACTATTCTTAATTGATTTATTGTATGTGCAGCATGTACGGTTTGCAGGTGATCTTCTGTTTTCCTCAGTAGAATGTTCTGATACAGTGACTTATAAGTGTTGCTTGTTATGGATTTGGGTTGTGAAACTGTCTTCTGTAGACTTTCAATTTGTAAACCAGTTATCAAAAAGTACTAGAAATGCTCCAA